CCCCAAAACCCCAAAACCCCAAAACCCCAAGGAAATCCTTAAAATCTAAATATCAAATTTAAGTATTGGAGCAAAGTTGCAGTATAGTAAGAATTTTCAGGATTATTGTTCTTCTTCGTCAAATTCTCAAGGGTCTTGCTTGGACTCCTCCTTTGCGACTTCTTTAATCTCTTCGTTTGAATCTGAGGATGAGAGATACTCTATTTTGAATGTTTCTTCTGATCTAAGAGTGTTACAGTATTATTACCTTGAAAGAGAGGATAGTATACTATCTTCAGATGTCAGCCGGTGAAATCTAGGGTCTTGCCCACGCTCTCTCAAAATTTGATTTCGCAGTGTACGCTTTCTCCAAGCAGAAAATGAGAGTTTGAAATACATTAGAGACAAGAAAGGATTAACTTTGATAGAATCTATATCTTTATTCCTTGATGTCTTCATCATCTTCTTCCTAATATTCTTCAACTTCTTCAGAACTGAGAGCTCCTGTTGGGCTAGGGAAATATTCTTGACGTTCTCTTCGCCATAGACTCTATAAATTAATCCAAATTTCTTACCTCTTCATAGTTTTAAAAAGAAGCTCATTAAAGTATATAAAGCCATTATTGTCACTTATCAAATCCATTTTAAGTATCTCGATGACCGCTGTCTTTCGGGTCATGTTTCTCATCCCTTTGAAGCCTAACGGGAAAGGCATGGAATAGAAGAACTCTACCAAGAAGTGATCTTTAATTTTGATACCAAAATCATCTCGTGAAAATTTGGTCCAGTTGAGTTTAAAAGTGTCCAAGTCCTTTTTAAATTTATCAATCACGTTGTCTTTAGGAAGATAGTACTCATCAAATTGCTGAAGAATCACTAAAATGAACAGATTTAGCAACACAAGCATGCAGATCATAATGAACGAGATGAAGTACAGTGGAGCTATAGGAGTCCCACATGTCTTTTCAGGAATTCAATCAGGCTTAGTTCGTGAAAGATCATACATAATTTTGTTCCAGTCTTCTCCAGTCAGGATCATGAGGAGGATAAGCATAGCTTGATGGAAGTTCTTGAAGTTTTTATACTCACTGATTATCTCTCCTTCTGTAATATCACTGAAGATGAACACACCCAAGATGGCATAGATGAAGAAGACTAGTAATAGCAGAGCGAAAACATTGAACAAGCTTGAAATCGAGAACGTTATTGTTTGTATAAGTGTCTGCAATCCTTTATACCTGTTTATCAACCTGAGAAGTCTTGAAACTCTTAGAATTCTGAGAACTCTTGCTAACTGAGGCCCTACTGTCAGAATTTGTAGAGAACCGGAGGATAGATATGATAGTAAGATTTCTAAGAGACTTGATAGTACTACAAAGAAGTCAAATTTATTCCAGCTTGAAGAAAAATAAACAGCTCCGTAAGCGACTAGTTTCAGAATAGCTTCCAAGGTAAATAAGGCAGTGAACAGAAGGTTGATTATGTATAGAGCTTTATTATATGAATCTGGGGAGTCTTCAAAGCTTATAGCCATTTGGACCATGTTGAGCACAATTCAAGTCATGACACCAACTTCAAACACTTCTGAGATAACAATGGAATGAAGAAATTTTCTAAATTTATTTCTAGGAACATAGGTTGTCTTGATATCTGGAGAAGCATTTTTAATCATTTTCATGATATCAATCCAAATTCTTTGCCTATCATTCAAGACAAGAGCTGCTGCTTCTTCCTTTTGCGCTTCCTCATAATTGAGGGAAATTACACCAACGAAGAAATTTAGGAAAAAGAAATTTCCAACAAGAATGAAGAATATGAAATAAAGTGAATAGTAAGCACTTGCATCTTTTTGTGGTCCTCTCTCAATAACAGTAGCATCCGTTGCTTGGTACATTATATCAGGCCATCCTTCTAAGGAGGATACAACAAAGAGAGTCAACATGGCATTTATCGTATTATCAAAGTTGGAATCATAAGTCTTCCACTTTGCTCCAATATTGAGGCAATCTTCACGTGTTCGTATTTCATAAGCGTCGGCATCACAGTATTGGAATTTACCTCCAAAAAGATTTACTCCGAGGATTGCAAACATTAGGAATACCACCAAGATGACGATGAGGACATTGAAGATGTGGCCAACTGATTGAATCATTGCTTCCACTACAATTTTAATTTGAGAGTTATGGGAAATAAATCTCAGTGGCCTTAATGTCCTCAGAAGCCTTAGAACCTTGATTACAGGTACATTAATACCATCAAATACCAGATCGATTATACTTGTCACTGCAATGAAAAAGTCAAGCTGGTTCCAGCTTTCTCTGAGGTATGACCCTTTCTCAAAAACAAGACCGTCAGAGATGGAATGAAGAAGTGACTCAAGTGCAAAAGCTACTATGAAAAATAGATCTAAATATCCTGATATTGTCACTTCAATAGAGTCGTCTGGGCTATTTAAGATATATGTGTCGACTATCAACTTTACACTAGAGAGCAGGATCAGTACCATTATTATTGTCTCGAACCCATTCCATTGGGTAAGAGTGTAGATCCATAGCCGAATAGGGTTAGACTTTGAGATAAAGAAGAAAGATCGCTCACATTCAACCCCTTCATAAGGAGCTTTAGATGCCTTTATCTCAGATTCCTTCTTTGCTAATATTTCAGGAGTTATTTCTATTGATTCATCCAACAGATTATTCTCCTTGTTCTTCTTTTTAGTGTTATTTACGAACAAATTTCTTGCCGTCGTTCTTATCGTCTCCTTGACCTAAGTCAAGTTTGATTTGGAAATCAAGAGCGTCTATGAGTTGTTGGTTTTTCTTGCCTTCAAGATTTGCTCTTTCATCAAGATTTGGATCTTCATCGCCGACAATTCCATTCATTTTGTTCTTTTCTTCCATTTCTTTCTTTTCTTCTTCATCTTCCTCGACGAAGCTGTCGAGGAGAATGGCTAAGAAGAGATTCAGGAGCACAAAGTTTCCTATGAATATCCATGAGATTAGGTAGATAGCAGCAGTCCATCCTGACTGATCCATTGTCGAGTAGAGAATTGAGTTCCAATTTTCCATTGTAAGAAGCTGGAAAACTGTGAGGAATGATACTGCAAAGCTATCAAAATTTGCTCTTGGTTTTTCTCCCTCGTAATTATTAAACTGCCCTCCATAAAGCTGCATTCCCATTAGACTGTAAATAAAGATAAATAGTAGAAGGAGTATTGCTAAGTAGATGAAACTACTCATTGACCTTCCGATAACTCCAATAATTACTTGCATTGACTGCATTGATCTTAGAAGCCTTGCTACACGGAGAACTCTAAATGTCCTGAATATTCTCACTGTCCTGAAGGCAGACAAGGAGCCCCCACTGTTAGAAAGGAAGGCAAGTTCGACGATACTTAGGATTACTACTGCTCCATCAAGATAATTCATGGTTTCTCTAAGATAATTTCTAATTCCAAGCCCAAGGATCTTTAAAGCCATTTCAATACAGAAAACAACTGTGAACACTGTATTAATGTTGTTGAAAGATCTTTCAACTTCTGGATCTATTCCGTAATGATCAATAGCCAAGATCAGAGTATTGAGTGTAACTCAGAGAGTCATGAAATTCTCGAAAAATGATGATCTGACAAATAAATCTAAGTAAAATTTCATTTTTAATAGCCATCTAAAGCCGCTATTTCTATGAATGCACATTGTATTCAGACTATTGATGATATGATTGGCCTGACTGGGTTCTAGTCATGGCATAATATCTTGTCCACTCCATTCAATATCAACTATCTGCCTATTTTTATCTTCTTTCTTGACCTTCTTAATAGCTCCTTCAAGGTCAAATTCTACATCAAGGTATTCATCTTTGATAGGTATCCTTTCTTCATAAGGAGTTTCTTCTATTTCTATATCGCTCATAAGACATATGAAAGTAGAGGTAAATGATCCTTCAGGCTTGAAGATCTAAAGGGGGCATACCGATTGCTCTATTAACCATTTCTTTGATCTGCTCTTCATTCATTTTACCTATTTTTCCAAGATAGTGACCGGTCGTTGGCTGTACAATTAAGTTCTATCTTACCTTCGATTTGAAAGAAAATAACTTTCTAGTCTTTCTCATCCTTCTTAAAGGGTTTCTAAACGATAACTTAGTAAATTACGATTCAGGAGTAGAAGATCCTTGGAGCAACTTTCCTGATTTTTTAGATCCAATAAATCCCTTTCTTTTCGAATTTTGTTTTCCCATCTTAAAATTTGATGGTATTTTCTTAAAAGAGCTTGAGCGTTTTAGGCTACTCAGAAGGATCGTATTCTTAGGCTTTGTTTTTTTAATCAAAACCTTAGTCATGATTTTTTTCACTTCTTTGACCCCCATCTTTTCAGCATCTTTAGATTCGTTTGTAACTTGAGGTTTAGCAGAAAGTGGTGTTTGGATTTTAACTTCATCATTTCATCAGAGTGAGCTAAAGTATGATTACACAAAACTTACTCTTCATCACTGCTGATATAGATTTCATCAGGAACGAGTTCCATCCTATCTACTTCTTTCATATCCTTGCTCTCAGCAACTAAGGAGACGGAATTAGTTGATATGATGTGTGAATGAAAGTTTTCATCATATTTCTGCTGTAGCCATTTATTGCGGCTCATAAAGTCGTAATCCTGGATTGTCTCTTCACCTTGAGTCTGACCTGAATGATTTTCTTCTTCAACAGGGATACTAAAGTCTTGCTGAGGTTTGTAGTTCACCCTATTTTTCATACTCTTTAGTTTCAGCATCCATCCAGATCATCTTCCATTTAAACTTAGCCTTTGGAGGTTCCTTTTTCTCTTCTGAGACAACATCTTTTAGTGAAGAGTATTTGAACTTAATCTTATTAGAGGCTAGCTTCTTCTTAGATTGCCCATTAAGAGTCTTTAACTTCTTTCTGTTCTTGATATTATCAGCTATGGTCTTCCAAGGAGTCTCCTTCTTGGCTTGTTCACGCTCTATAATCCTATTTTTGACAAAATCTTTGTCCTCTTCATAACAACGAGTGACGGAATTGTCATATTTCAAGTGAATGATCTCTTTGTTTGTCAACATCTTTCTGCTTTGGAGCCATTTTTGCTTACTCTCGCTGAACCTTGACCTTCTATAGTTGTAATAAGGAAGATTACTTTTGTGGAGTAAACTTCTCTTCACACATGCTTAAGTGTCCAATACTTGTAGACACATTCTTCTTAGGACTGGGGTTCATGATCCTTTCTCTTTGATCTAAACATAAAGTGAAGGTATTACTATAGACACTTTTCAACTCTTCGGGAGTATTGTTTAAGTTCCTCGTGAGAGTATGGTTTCTCACTGAATTATGAGCTCTTGAGCTTCTGAACTCCTTCCGGTTTTCATTCTTAGCATTATTTCTCTTTTTATGTTCTGATCTAATTGTTGATTGAGAGTTAGTCACATAAAGTTTCTTTTCTTCCTCTCAAATCTTCTGATAACTCTTTTGGTATTGGATATCACCAATGCTGGGCTCATCATGAAGTTTGTCTCTTGTTTTGGCGAAACCTTCTTCAAAATCAAAGAAGTTATCAATATTGGAATCTGTAGAGATTGGACTATCAACATCTTCAAGATAATCTAGATGCTCACTACTCTTGAGATCACTGGTGGAAGAAACTTGTTCATTCTCAGGGTCTTGAGGCTTTGTGGGTGTCATTGTATTTTCAAGAGGCGTATCAATGTCTTTCTCTTTTTGATAACTTTGATTATCATCTTTCTCATCAAGAGTATTATCTTCTGCATTGATCTCTAGATGTACAACATTTTCACTCTTCTTCGCACCCTGAGATCTATCAGATTTTATTCTATCTCTTGAGTTTTCAGATAGTCTCTTGGTGATATTCTTGCTAGATTTCTTCTTACGGTTCTTCTGAGCTTTTATTTTGAGGAGCTTTAAATCATCTCGAGGAGCATGGATCAAAGGGGAATCAACATTTTCATAATAAGGATTACTTGATTGAGAAAAATCTTTATTTGCTATAACATTTGCACTTGAATTAGGGCTATTCCCCCTCAAAGTATTGATTACTTTATGAAATCTTCTTGATGAAGATTTATGCTCAGATGATCCCATAAATTTGTTGGTCTCTGATTGATGTTCTTCATCAACCTCAACAATAGTTCCTCGGCTAATATCCAAATTTCTTCTCCATTTACTTAGATTTCTCAAAGCCCATTTTGTTGCAAGTGGAATTGTTCGATATAAATTTGTTTGATTTTATCACATTTATCTGCTTATCTCTTCTGTCTGGTCCTTCATCACCAGAGTTTAATCCAGAACCGCTTGAAGATCGATTATTATCCTTACTTCTATCGGGGTCGCTTTCCTCTGATTCTTTAGATGATGCATGGAAGCTAGACTCTTCATCCATATTGGCTTGCTCGTTCTTAATAAATATCTCTTTATCCTCCTCTTTCTCATCTTCATCAGGTGAATTGACATCGCTTACAATAGACTTGTTAAACTCTTTATCCTCTTCAAAAATATCTCTTCTCAAGGCTCCTGCCACTGACATAGGTCTTCTTAACAGAATATTACTGTTATCTTCAGGTTCAAGTTTCTTCCTGACTTTTTCAAGGATCTCGAACAGCTTTGCTCTAATGAAGCCCTTAATCTTCCTGTTTATACGTGACTTTTCTTTCTTTTCTTTAAGTTCTTTCTCTTCAGGTGTTTCACCCATGAAGTTCTTGTCTTTCTTCCTGGAGTTGTGCTCTTCAGTGAACTTAGATTTTATGACAGCTAAGGTGAGGTTGAGTAGGAAGAACGCACCGATGAAGACTAGGGGTACGAAGAACAGGAATGCCAGATTGTTGAAGGATTTTTGGAGCATAACCATTACTGTTGACCACCCTTCAAGTGTTACTCATTGGAAGATTACAAGGAAAGAGTAGAAAATATTGTCGAAGTTTGTAATACCAAGGTTAGGGTTTGTGTTCGTCTTTCCACAAAAGTAACCACTTGGGCATTTCTTTGCTCCGCAGATTATAAATTATCAAGATGAACTTTGCCTGTCTCAATTTCAATACATCTCTTCTTAAGAACGCCAGACCAAAGTTGGAGACCAGCAATAGCGAAGATCAGGAAGAAGAAGAGTAGCACAAGAATTGTATCCCTGAGCATTGGAATAGCTGAAAGTAAGGCAGATACAAGGATCTTAAGACCTTCAATCCCTGAGATTGTCCTCAATGGTCTTAACACTCTGAAAGATCTTAGTACATTCAAGTTTGTTGAATTACTAGAGAGGAACATTGGTAAATATCCACTGATAACAATGATAAAATCTAGGATATTCCAGGATTCTCTCAAGTATGATTTTGGAGGGAAAATAAAGCCTTGCCCTAAAATTTTCAGAATCATTTCTATTGTATAGAGAGCAAGGAAGACATTATCAAGCACTTCAAAGTCGCTATTTGAGGATTCATTTGTGGGATCCTCCATAGCCATAAATATTGAGTTTAGTACAATAATTACAAGCGATACCCCTTCAAATATAGGTGAATTTATAATTTTGAAGCATGTTCCGCTTATAGAAACTTTGATGACTGTATAGAACCTTCTCAGCTTGTAGCATTTCTTATTTTCAAGCATCTCTATTTCATCTTTGTCAGCTAAATATTATACGACTAGAGTACTAAATAACGAGGTATTGTTGATGCTTGACTGTTCTTTATGTTCGATAGATTCTTCCTGTATCTCTTCAATAGGTGCTCTTGCATTAAGCTCTTGGGATAATTTATCAAGATCTGATTCCACACCTACAAGGTCATCATCATCAGCATCAAGGATCTGACTTTCTTTGGCATGTATCTTATCTCTGTAATTTCCAGCAGTCATATCAAGGTTTTCTAGCAGAGAATTGCCGTAGTAGACAGCCTTAGACTTGTTAGAATGTCCCTTTGTGTCACTATTATATTCCTCAGATATACTGTGGTGATCTTCACCTATTTTATAGATAAAATTAAATATTTGAGGTTTTCTTACTACTTGAAGGAGGATCGTCATTAGCCATAAGTTTAGATTTAAACTCTTCTTTTTCGTCTTCATCTGATATACCAGGAAGCTTCCGTTCAGGAGGAATGTTATTTGTAGGCCCCACTTTAAAACCCTTTTAGCATTTTTGCTGAATTCTTTTGGCCTAGTTCAATAGGAGGGAGTTTATTTTTGTTCTATAATTATAAGGAGATATTTAAGCAGAGATCTTACCACTTCCTCCAATTTCTGGTCTTCATCGTAGTATTCATTTTGATACTCGATATTTTGCAAGCCCACTAATTAAAATTATTTTCAAAGTTAAGTGAATATTTTGGTTTGATTGAATAGAGATGTCACTAGCGGGCTTCATTTTCATTCAATAATATATCAGTCTTAAAACACTTATCCAAGTTGCCTCAAGATATGCTTACCATTGGAATCATTCTCATTTACGGAATTTAATCGATGGGAATTCATACTTTGTCTTAAGTTTCTATACAAGATTACTATGGTTTCCAAAATAATGGTGACTAGAAATAAACGTGGGAGCAGAATGGATCCAATCTCACAAGAGCACCCCCGATAAAGAAGGTGTATTATCCCCGTAATATCTTACTCTTCTTCAGGACTATCTTTGTTATCAGACATTATATATTTATATATTTTAAATTCAATTAGAGATTTTTCAAAGGGGTTTTGGGGTTTTGGGGTTTTGGGG